GACCTCAAGACGCAGAACATCCTGCTGGACAAGCACCAGATGATCGTGAAGATCGGGGACTTCGGCATCTCCAAGATCCTCGTCAGCAAGAGCAAAGCCTACACTGTGAGCATTCCTGCAGGGTGCTGGGCGGCTGTCCCACACCCGTAGGCTGTGCCGCTAATGAAAAAAAGAGCAAAAGAAATCATTAATGGTGTTATTTAATAGAGGTCTAGGAGGAGGTCATATTCTAATGGTGCACTTCTGCTCTCCTATATGTAAATACTCTGCGTGCATCTGCTTTCTCATGAAGCAGCTCCCTGGCTCATGAAGCAGCTCCCTCGCAAGTGAGGGGGGTTGAGACACCCCTGATCCTCCTCAGCCAGGCGAGTTAACGCCAAAGTATTATGGATGCTATCCCTTTCGGTAAACCAAAACTTTTTTCTCTTTAACCCCTCTCTCATACAAATAAAAGAAAACACACAAACTTAAAAAACATGACAGTTTTCATATTTGTCTGCTTGTTTAGCTCTTATTAGAATTTGAGCGAACCACTTAAGTATTTATTGCCACATTGCCTCCACCCCAAAAAAGATTTTGACTCTTCTGACCTTACATTTTCTATTTTTACATGGTTGTTGAATGACTTACTTACATTGACTCAACTCAGAGCAGCTCTGCCCTTACAAAAGCTATTTTGCAATAAACGTTTCTGTGTTGCATCACCTTGCTAAAAGCTCAATGTAAAAGATCTGAGGCAAAAATACCAAAATTGATTCGACACTACTATTACTGCCGTGCAGAGTACGTCATTTGCCTTCATAAAATTCTTACAATGGTCATCTTTTTTTCTTCTTCTCTTTTGTGATTGGGCTCCCACAGGTTGTCGGGACTCCCTGCTACATTTCTCCCGAGCTGTGTGAAGGGAAACCCTACAACCAGAAGAGTGACATCTGGGCCCTGGGATGTGTGCTGTACGAGCTGGCCAGTCTAAAGAGGGCTTTTGAGGCTGCGGTATGAACTTAATTAATCTTTTCCCCATATAGCCCCCATTTTAATCTCTTTATGCTCCTGGTGTGGTGCGATAGAAGAACTGTACTTATTATATTGGATCTTGGGTCTGCTATGGCAGATATTCATCTCATCTACCACCTACCTCCTTGTAGTTTAGTTTACAGGTGTCTAACAAACTCTACTGTACTGCAGGCCACACATGCAGCTTGAGTTGCATAGCTGCAGTGTAGTCCACTGAAGCCCAGGATTTTGAAAGATTTTTTTTGTTTTGTGCTAATTCTTCAGTAGTATCACCTGTGAAGCACTGTGCCAGAGACTGCCCTTTATAAATTCATTGGAAAGACTTGTAGTTATTTTTTTGCTCCATTAGTTTGTTGAAGTGATGGAGTTCAGTTCAGTGTGACTCCAGGAATAGCATGGCATGCCTTTACACGTAGAGCCTCTTCTCACATGTAGATGTGACATTTAAAATAAGAGTGAGGAAATTTGCCTGGGCCTTTTCTGGAGGTGCTGGCTGCTTGCTTACTGCTCTTCCATGCCATTTGTTTCTAATGTAAGCATTGCTACAGAGGATCCCACAGCATAGCTGCGTAGCTACTGTATATTAGATCAATGGGAAATGGTGTCTCACATGCACTGATCTGAATCCCTGTTATAATTGTTATTCTTACTGTGGTCTGTCAGGTGCTTGTAACCACATCGTTTTCTCCTCAGAACTTGCCCGCCCTGGTTCTGAAGATCATGAGCGGCACCTTTGCTCCGATCTCGGACCGGTACAGCCCCGAGCTGCGCCAGCTCATCCTGAACATGCTCAACCTGGACCCGTCCAAGCGGCCGCAGCTGAACGAGATCATGGCCCAGCCCATCTGCATCCGCCCCCTGCTCAACCTCCACACGGACATCGGCAACGTCCGGATGCGGAGGTGGGTTGGGCCGTCGCGGAGGTGGGTGGGGCGCCAAGCTGATGGTCGGAGCGAGGGATGGTGCTGAGCCTTTTCCCTCTGCCAATGCCAGGATGCTTGTTGAATCTTCACTGCGTTTTCCGAAGTCCCTTCTTTTGGGATTCCTATATGTGCTTTCGATAATGTTGTGCCTGTGCACTCGGAAGTAAGGAGGATTAGATGCACAAATGTGGATTAATGTTAATGTTAATAAATTTTTTAATGTTAATGTTTAATGTTTCTTTATTAGCCCTGTACAATTTCTTGCATTAGGAATTCGTCTTTTCACATACCCCAGCTTTTCTCCATGGAGACACAGACAGGGAGAGAAGCTTGGGGTCAGAGCGCAGGGTCTGCCATTGTACGGCACCCCTGGAGCAGTTAGGGTTAAGGGCCTTGCTCAGGGGCCCAACGGAGTAGGATTCCTCTGCCGGCCGCGGGATTTGAACCGGCAACCTTCCAGTCATAGGCGCGGATCCTGAGCCACAGAGCCACCGCTCCGCCCCAATTAAGTATAAGTACACAGCAGAACATTCCGAGATTATTTCATATGTTTTTTAGGTTTGTTCTGGCTCGTGATCACACTTTGTTTCAAGGGATTTGCATGAATAGAGACAGACTTGCATGCATTGTTTGGTGGAGGTAGCAAACAATAATACGTAGTATTTTACAAACATTTGTATTGTTTCAGGTCCCCTGCATGTTGAGAATGAAAGAATACAGAAATAGCCTGTGCATCTGGACACCCTGGGACATACTAATAATATATCCATTTTTACACTTTATACCTCGTTTCCCAAGAAGAGAACTACACAGTGATGTTGTATGGAATTACAAAATCAGAATCAGAATGCTAACTTTAATTCCCAGTAGGCTCTATTAGATCAGTGATCCTCACTTCTGGTCCAGGTGAGTCGCAACCTTGCAGGTACTATGGAGAATATAAAAACACCATTGACTGCAGACTGGAAACTGCTGTATTAAGACCAGTTAGGGGAGGAAATACTCTGTGAAGACAGTGTCCTGCCTGTGGCCGTATCACAACTGCAAGTGCTGTCTTCCAGGATTGAGAAGCCCCTGTCAACAGTCCCGGCAGGTGCCCACGGGCGGCCCGGAGGACGAGTGCCCAGAAGCCGGTCCAGAGGTCAGCACAGCCCACAGTAATGAGCTTGGAACACAGCGACTTTCAGGGCTTCAAATGATCACAACACAGGGCATTATATATTTTTGCTATATACAGTATATGAGCAGAAAGATGGTCAGTAGGACCAATTGTAGTAAGCAACATAGTTCTACACACTGTAACACAGGAGTTTACATAGTGCTGGATGCAATGAACAAATGTTCAGATATGTAAACAGATTCTATTAATGAAGTTTACTGAATCAAACCTGTAATTGAGTCCAGATGAAGAGTAGGGAAGCACAGGAAATCATGGGAAATACATAAATGGTACAGATGAATGATACTGTGTGTTACCAGCCTCAGGAAACCAGCTGCTTGAGTGTAAATGCAAGCTGAAAGCAGGGTGAGACCATGGGAACACTGTCCCGATGTACTGTGGCGAATGTCCTTGAGGTCTCCTGTCCTTGCTGTGTCCCGGCCCCCCAGGTGCGCTGCTGAGCTCTGGCACTGGGAAGGCGGTGCACCCCCCTCCCCTGTCCTCAGTGTACACCTGGGGCAGCGGCATCGCCACGCCCCTCCGCCTGCCCATGCTCAACACCGAGGTGCTGCAGGTGTCGCTGGGACGGACGCAGAAGATGGGCGTCACCAAGTCCGGCCGCCTCATCACCTGGGAGGTGAGAGTCGCATGCCATTCCATGCCTGCTGGGGCTTGTCGAAAAGGAAGGGGGACCCCACCCTGTGATGACTTTAATCCATATTAAGAATCGGAATAGGAATAAGAATAGGAATAAGAATAGGAATAGGAATAGGAATAGGAATAGGAATAAGAATAAGAATAAGAATAAGAATAAGAATAAGAATAAGAATAAGAATAAGAATAAGAATAAGAATAAGAATAAGAATAAGCTTTATTGTATATACAGTCTGGATAGCGGACCGCTTAAATAAAGGCCCTCTTAGATAAGAAGGTTTGTGGTGCTGTGATGGCTGCTCTGACCAGCTGCCCCTGGTCTTCAGGCTCCCTCCGTGGGGTCCGGGGAGCCCACCCTGCCCGGCTCCGTGGAGCAGCTGCAGCCCCAGTTCATCTCCCGCTTCCTGGAGGGCCAGTCCGGGGTCACCATCAAGTCTGTGTCCTGCGGGGATCTCTTCGCTACCTGCATGACAGGCAAGTGACCAATCAACCAATCAATCAAAGCTTATTTATCAAATGCACAACAATACAGCGTGCTGCAGTAGTTGCTGGCAATGAAATGTCTTTTCTCTGAGCTCACCGGGGAGGGGGGAAATTAAAGTTACAAATTTAGGTTACATAATAATTATAATAAATAATAGTGCAGCTGCTTCTCAGGGTTTCATGCAGCAGGATAAAGACCGGCCAGAGTGGGTTTGCGCAATCCGATTAGCTGCTAACCTGCCTAGTTTTCCATCAGTGACATTCACCATTGTCTTTTGTTTAGGTATTGTTTCGTTAGAACAATGCTGCCCTGATACTTTTGTTTGCCTGGGGGTGGCTATCAGTAGCTCATCAGCAAAGGCGGCTGAGGAGTTTAAATCTCTTATCATAGCTGGTACAGTAGTTGCATTGTCTCTTAATGTGCTGGAAATGAGGCTGTTACTCATTTGTTTGAACTGAGGCTCTTGGCTTTGACAGCAGATAGTGCCGTAACCATGATAAGGTGGATGGGGTGTGTCTTTACTTGTTTCTTCTTGGTCCTTGGCCAGACAGGGGCATCGTCATGACCTTCGGAAGTGGGAGCAATGGCTGTCTCGGACATGGGAACTTCAATGACGTCGCACAGGTAAGTAGCACCTTCGCCGTTCGGGTTTAAATTCAAGTGGAGAGCTCCTGAACCCTTGTGGTATAAGAATCAAGTGTGGTAAGAAAACAGGGGCTACAAACGAGCTGTTATCAGAGTTATCCAGGCCTTCTGTGGCGCAACATTTGCCCCAGAGTGACTTCCTGCTAAGGTGTCCATACTGTGTGGTGTCAGATGGGAGGACTCACCCTACATGCCCAATCGCACCGCTGTCCATGCCTGTGCTGTTCTGTGTGTCTCCAGCCTAAGATAGTGGAGGCGCTGCTGGGATACGAGCTGGTCCAGGTGTCGTGCGGGGCTTCCCATGTCCTCGCTGTGACTAACGAGCGGGAGGTGTTTGCTTGGGGAAGAGGGGACAACGGTAATCGCGCCTCTTCTGTTGTTGTTTTTTCAAAGTTCTTGTTCTTTTTCTGTTCCGTTTGGCTTTCTCTTCGGCTTATACAGTACGTTGCCTGTTTTTTTGCTGAGTCACGACGCTGCCGTAAATCTGTTTCTCTCTCTCGCCATGCAACATGTCTTCCTCGAACACGACAGAAGCATTGTAAGTAAGGAAGTGTCACGTCTTTCTGAAAGATTATCTAGTATCCCTGTAGGCAGGTTCCCAGTTTATTTTTTTTATGTTTAGGACTTGTTTTTTTTTAAAAATTAAAAATTAAAAATTAAGCTCAGAACTATGGTAAGTGTTGGACGAGTGCTGTCTCATCAAGTCTTTATTTATCCTCCTCTTCATCTTCGCCTCTCTCTCTGCCTGGAAGGCCGCCTCGGCCTGGGCACGCAGGATTCCCACAATTCCCCGCAACAGGTGCTTGTGCCCCCGGAGTTTGAGGCTCACCGGGTGCTCTGCGGCGTCGACTGCTCCATGATCATCGGCACGCGGCACCACATCCTGGCCTGCGGCAGCAACAGGTGGGTCCGCATCCTGCCCCGCGTGTCACACGTCAACATCCCAGCGATCTCCTGCACAGCCATGCCGTTTCAGGAGGCGTTGTGCTTTTTGGGCTGTGACACCAAGTCCAGAACAGAGCAGATGCCGAAGCAGGGAACATTCAGTACCTTGGCTACCCTGTTCAGGCAAGGCCCTTAACCCCAACTGCTCCAGGGGCGCTGTACAATGGCTGACCCTGCGCTCTGACCCCAAGCTTCTCTCTCCCTGTCTGTGTGTCTCATGGAGAGCAAGCTGGGGTCTGCGAAAAAGACGAATTCCTAATGCAAGAAATTGTGTATGGCTAATAAAGTGATCTTATATACTGGCCATGTATTGTAATAGTAATCATTAATAACCAGTTGAGGTATGATCTTGCTTTCATATCAATCCTCTTCACGCAGTGGATAGCATTGACAGCAGGTCACACTCCCACTGAGTTTCTTAGCTCATGTTCAGCTCAATTTAAAAGGTGTGTTTATCTGTAGAAGATCCACCAAGAGGGAATAGCAGAAGTGATACATAGTTTATGGCAGCTCATAGAATTAAGAAATAAAATTGTAAATCTAAAACATACATTAGATCTCACCGTTTGAAAACCCAGTGTAATTGTTGGGTTAGGTAAAGGGGAAACTATTTAATCTCACTTACGTGATTGTGGGAGCTCTGCTGGTAAAAAAAAAACAAACGCTGCCTTTCATCGAAGTAGATTGTTCTGAAAATCCTGGATTAAGTCGTGAATTTGTGCCTCGGAGTCTGATCCTGTAAGGTTGCATTCCCGTGCCGTGACACACACACACGCTGTGTCATCCCTGTCACTCAGATCCTTAACCAGAAAAGTGGTTGACGTCTTGCCCAGTAATGGCAGGAGCACTGTGTGCTGCCAGCGAACAGAGTTCAGTGAGGTGGGCATAGGGGTGGGAACGCCACAGACATTCCTGTGGCATTTCAACTTCCTGCTTCCCTCCAGCAGCATGTTTTTGGCAGTATTTATTTAGATCACGCTGCCAGCATCTTTAACTAGAAAACAGAACACACCCAACTTAACAACACATATTTACTGTTTATAGCCACACGACGTGTATTTTACACAGGGGCTCTGACTGTTGCTGTCTTCAGGGCGTCCTTAGGGAAAGCTAATGGCACTGCAGTGTAAAGGGCTTTGTGAATTTCGTGTACTTTAGGAAAACCCTTTTGGCATAGCTCAATTCTGAACCAGCCGTCATGGATTTAATTTAAAAAACAAGCAGCTGTGAACGACATGTTATAATGAGGTATTCTATTAATTAAACCCATTGCTACCGCAATTTCTTCTTACACAGACAGTGAAGATGACGTATGTTTTCTAAAATGAGCTTTTCAATTGCTGTTCATTTTAATTTAATTTACTAGGCTGGCCTCTCTGGTTCAATTTTTTTCGGCCCCCCGAATAATAATAATTATAATAATAATTGCTTACACTTATATAGCGCTTTTCTGGACATTCCACTCAAAGTGCTTTACAGGTAATGGGGATCCCCTCCACCACCACCAGTGTGCAGCATCCTCCTGGATGATGCGACGGCAGCCATAGTGCGCCATAAGGGTTGGTTGGTTTCTCCTTACGGAATAACAATAAAACTGTCTGCCCTGCGTGTTCAGGTTTAACAAACTGGGGTTGGACAAGTTAGACGGCGTGGAAGAGCCGTCCCCTGCCGGTCAGGTCGAAGAAGTGCACGTCTTCACCCCCGTCCAGTCGGCTCCCTTTAACGCGGAGAAAATTGTTCAGGTCAGCATCGGAACAGCCCATTCTGCTGCCATCACAGGTGAGAGACGTTCATACGCATTTCGGAAAAGGCGTGACCTTTGTGTGACAGCGTGTACACCCAGACACGCTGCTGATGTTCAGACTAGCACAAAAGAATAGCCTTTAAATCAATGTCCTCCGGTGGGAGAAAAGCTGGAAACTGGAACCTAAAATAAGGTGTATTAAAGTGTCTGTTCAGCAGGCCTTTGTTAAGGAAAGGAACAAGTCCAGGTTTATTCCCTGCTGAAAAGAGAAGAAAAGAAACACAACATTTCGGCTGTGGAGCCACACCCGAAGAAGGCTACACAGCCGAATGTTGTGTTTCTTTTCTCCTCTTTTCAGCAGGGAATAAACCTTGATTTGTTCCTTTGCAGGCCACGCGTGCTGACGCAGCTGCCTCCTTGAACTGTGTTAAGGAATACACTCTATATAGCCCACTGGGGTTTGCCTGTAAACGCCCAGTCCGTTCCTCTCTGCATGTTTCACAGACAAGGGCCAGTGCTTCACCTTCGGCAGTAACCAGCACGGCCAGCTGGGCTGCAGTACCCGCAGGAACAGCCGTGTGCCATACCTAGTGCCGGGGCTGCAGGGCATCACCATGGCAGCATGCGGAGATGCCTTTACCGTGGTCATTGGAGCAGGTACAGCGGTGCCGGCACTGAAGCAGCCACTGGGGCTGTAGGAGAGCGTACGACACGCCTAGCTAAACTGGCCTCTTCCATTGCACGTCTGTGTTCTGACTAAACCATTGCTACTGGCGTGCTCTTTAGCAGCAGGATCAAGGAAGAACTTGAGTGAATCAAAGCCCTGATATGGCAAGTATGAATTCAGTCACATTCTAAGTCAGCGTTGTAGTCGTATATTTACATTACAGGAAAAAAACAACCCGCATGTCCCGCATACCAAAGCATTGCATTCTCCACTGCTGGCCTTCCAGTTCTACTCTGAGTCAGATACGGATCTTTACAATAGTTGTTAGTATTTTTATTGCATTGGAATTCATGCCATGGCAGTGTTGCTGCTGTTGATTATAGGTTTGGGATCGCATTACTGTAATTACAGAGGCAGTTTTAGATTTAATTAATTTAATTTACTCATATTTTGGACCTGCTGCTAGTAACTATAGCAATACCATCTGTGGTAGCAATTGGAGCACTTACAGCATTCCAAATCCTTTGTCAGGACTATGGATACAGCGTTCATTGCTTGACTGCTTGTGTCTTATTTGAATTCCTCACAGCCTTATGGTTAGTTCAGGATGATGGATTCTAAACAGTGGACAATGCACCATTCCTAAAAAAGAGACCTTACACATACTTTCTGTGCACTAAAAAAACAACCTCATTAAATAGACTAATAAAAGACAAACAGCCTTACAGGCTGCAGTTTGAATGGCAAACACTGTAAAACACTTAAGATGAAGGCTTGAGTCTTAAAGCTGCCAGTTTTGTCTGTGGAACAAATTTAGCAGTTGGCAAGAAACCTTTAAAAGAGCTTTTCGTTTTCCTGAGATCCTGTTTATCTGGTCTAACATTATTAATTAATAAGTTAGAAGGGGAAAAACATAAACACTGATATTTAAATGGTGCAAAAACAGCCTTCTCATTTTCTGGGGTGTTCTCTGCAGAGGGGGAGGTGTACACCTGGGGGAAAGGAGCCCGGGGCAGGCTGGGAAGAAAAGAAGAGGATTCTGGGATTCCCAAACTGGTGCAGCTTGATGAGGCCCATCCCTACGTGGTGACATCAGTGGCCTGTTGTCATGGCAACACCCTGCTAGCCGTCAAACGTAAGAATCTTTCTCATATTATTGGGGAGAATTCATAAGGTTGCATTTTGCCATCCACCAGTTTTTGTGTTTGGTGGCCGGGGGTGGGGAGGAGTAAGGATTTTTAAAATTTCCATTTCCATTTAATGATGCTAATAATGTCTGCTTGAGGCTGGGTGAAATTGAGTCGAGAAAACTTCGAGCTTTGATGTTGTTTCTGTTTCTGAGGGTATGTTTTTAGTAGATTGCTTTAATAAAAAAAAAGTTTTGCAAAAGAAAATAGAGGAATCAGTGCAAAACTAGGAAAACTCTGAGTAATTTGTTCAACAATCTTCTACAGACCTTTGTGTTCTGGCAGTGAGTGTTCATCTAACAGTGCATCATTGCAATAGGAAAGCTGTAAGAAAGTAAATCATATTTTTGTAACAGGTAAAAAAAGGGGAAAGCTAATTTCTACTAAACATATCACTTTAAATGATTGGTTCAGTCCTGCTGTCCAGGTCTGCAGTGTCCTATCTTTGCCAGTCCCTTTGTCCAGCAGCCTCAGGTCCTCCATTAAAAATACTAATTAACGGGGCAGCAGCAATCTGCCCCCGTTACTTCTGAAGAAGCAATAAACTGAGCAGCAGGGCTCCTGTTCAACTATTTAGCTCATAAGGAACTGGAGGGGGTCGGCCAACAACATGAAGAAACAAACCGCACTACAGTCATCTCTGGCTAGCCTCCTCTCAGTCCCTGGACACTTAAAACAGAAGGCAGAATGAGTGCCTATAGTGGGAGGTCTCCTTTCATCCGTGTTTGCTGTTCCTCTCCTACAAAAGACAAATGTCAGCTTTGAGCTAAGAGGGAGCCTTTGATGTTTTGGAGAAAAAAGACGCTCTGTTGCATCATCTTTTTAAATTTGGTGTACATAATTCACGTTTTTTTTCTGTAGTGGGTAATGATTTCTCAGCCTTTGCACTCAGGTGCTGTGCTGCAAGCGCTTGCTGTGTTAGTTTGTCTACCCTGTTCTGCGTGCTGTCCCATGCGCACACACAGATGTGTACTGTTTCAGGAGGGCCAGGATACAGAAAGGCTGTGTGTCTGTGATAAATCACAGTCCTCTCGGGTGTTTGCATGTGACTGTGTGAAAAGAACGAGGGCGAGTCAATACTTCCTCATCTGCTTTTTTCTTCTGCAATATACAGTACATCAAAATGAGGGCTGGATTAAAACCCCCCCCCCCCTCCTGTTTAAAATAGCCAAAGCTTTCGTAAAGATTAAACAAGGAAAATCTAATCAGTAAGAGAGAAATGTATAATCCTTCTGGCAGTGCAGTACACAGCTCAGTTGTGTTTCCTGCCCTTTGACTCTCTAGAGAGAACTTGCTGTGAGAGGCTTCATTCTTCATTCTTCCTCTAGCAGGGGCTCCTGTGGGGTACAGGTCTTGTATGATACAGATGCATTCTTCATTATTCAGAGTGGTGCCTGATCTCTCAGTCATATAAAACACCTCACTCAAAGGTATTTGGAAGCATTCTTACAGCAGTTTCCTTGCATTGACTGACTTGTAACTATAGATCTTGTTTGTGTTCTTGTTGTATTAGAAGGGAATTTGAAATAGTATCCTTCCATTGGAGACAACATTTAATTTTTCATAGTAATTCATCATAACTCTGTCCTTCTTTCAGCATTTCTGGACGAGAGTACTCCCAGATGATCCTTCAGGCCATCTTAGTGAGTACATAGCTGACTCGTTCTCTCATTCCTAACCAGAGAGATCCCGACTCGAGGACCAAGAAAATATCCTTATGAACTGCCTGTTAGATTATGCAAGGCTGTTGCCTGACAGTTTGTTTCAAGACAGCTTTGTTGTCACAACATTTGTCCAGCTCTGCCATAGTGTTTTTGTAGTGATACAAAAAAAAGTGTTTTCCAACTTACCTGTATTTGCTGCTAAAGAGATGGGGTTACTGACACTATCACTGTCATGTTTGCATGTTTGCAAATTAATAAATAAATGTTCATGCAGTACCGGTATATGGTACTCTGTAGACCAGCAGGGTAAATAATGCATGTCCTGAAGAGCCACAGTCCAATGGATCTCATAGTGCCACTCTGTAATCAGCAGTCCTTATGGACTGGGAAAACATGTGAGTTTCGATTAATGTGATACGTTCATTTTTTTTAGTTAAGACGGGAATGGTCAACTGTGGCCTTTGAGAGCTCTGGGGCATTTTCATTTCAGATGATGTCTGAACTGCTCAGTTGAGCATATAATCTTCTTAGATGGACAGAATACAAATGTGCAAAGAGTCTAGAAATTGCCTAGTTAAATCTAGACAGTCTTCCAGTCTGTGGCTCTCCAGGACCAGGGTTGGTCTCGCCCTGTAACTGCAGTTACACAGTGTGGCTGTGGTACGCAGGGAAATGAGAGCGTTGTTTATGTCCAGGGTTATCCTGTAGTATTGGGCTGATTGTGATCTCACTGAGATTCAGGGAGTGCTTAGCCTTGAAAGTTGCATGGTTACATATCAGCAGCTTCAGGAAGGAGTAACCTTCCTGGTCAAAGTAAGTTCAAAATGCTTGTTGAGGATGTCAAGCCAGTTCTGTAGGTTAGGCTGTCACTCACCATGTTACACTAAGGCATACTTCCTGGAACTAAGTTAAATGACACTATGTCGCTGGGGTAGTGTGTCACAATGACATACAGGGCCTATAAAAAGTATTCACCCCCCTTGGACTTTTTCACATTTTATTGTGTAAGTGTGGAACCATGATATATTTAACTGAGAATTTTTGCCACTTATCAACACAAAGTACTCTATAATGTCAAAGTGGAAACAAATCCAGACATTTTACTCAATTAATTAAAATTAAAAAACAGAAGTCCAAGGGGGGTGAATACTTTTTATAGGCACTGTAGTGTAAAATCAATCTTGATTTTAAAACGTTTGTTTTTCAAATATTGTTTTTTATATTTTGATCTGTGATGTTGCTGTAGGAGTTTTATAAGACTTTTTAAAGGTACAATTTGCAATTACCAATTGTCAATAAATTTGGGATAACACCATTGGGAAAGATGAGAACTGTGTTCACCCTCCTCCAAAAAGGACAATCGTGGCCCTTTGCCACTTTACACACTACACGCACTGCAGCAGTCTTGGTGCATATTGGAGGACTAATGATGCAGCTCTTTTAGAGCATAAGACTCTAACTGTGACCTACTGTAATACCTTTACTGGTTCACCTACTTGAGAGCAACCTGAAGAACACCACTACCATCACCAGACCAAAACTGGCTGTTGTGTCTAGCAAAGTGATAGAATGATTGGAACTGTACTTTTACATCCATTCCTGATTACTGTGAAACAGTAAGAGATTCTCTATTTTTCACATTAAACACCTCCCAACTAACCGATTGCAGGCGTCACAGTGTTTTGAACCAAACAAGCAGCTTTTCTGGAGAACAATGTTTTTTGTTGTCTGTAAACTATAAAATGGTGAATCACAAGGTGCTCCTGTTGTTTTTTGGAGGAAAGGGAAATTCTGCTTAAAAAAAAAATGTAATCCAGCCTGCAGACGAACGTTAATCCGTTATCATTACTTTTAAGGTGGTGTTGTGAGGAAAGATCAAATCAATTCAAGCAAGTGGCAGGTTTCTCCTTTGAAACTGTTGCTGTAGCTAAGCTACATCAGAAGCTTTTCATAGTTTGCCTTCAACTGGGATCTTATGTGCTTTTTTCCACATGCCTTAAAAAATGAGACTCAACATTGTAGGAGTATTGAAGATCGTTTGAAGGCAAGCACCCAAGCATCTGAGAAAACAGAACAAGTGCCTTTCGGAAAAATACTAAAACATTTGACCAGGTGCTCAAAAAGCTTTCAAAGTTTAGCTCAAACTGAAAACTCAAAAGAAAAATGATGGTTATTGTATTACTCTCAGTGAAGGCTGTTTAATCATTGACCTTTGCTTTAGTAGCAAATAATCCAGGGTTTCCCTTCATCCTGCAGTGAGGGAGCAAACAACTATCACAGCGGACTCCCATCACAATGCATAAAATAATTTGTACTCTTATATAGAGTTCATTCATACTCTTAGACACTGTGGGTGTCCCCTCACACTATAATGTTTAAAATCATTGTAAAAACAAATAGAACAAAACACAGCAGGAATGGTGTACCTTTTACACATTTGTCTTGATAGCTCTCGAAACATTTCTCCATTGTTGACGTCCAGGAGGATCATTGAAAAGGAGTCATGGGTAATTTGCACTGGGCACCAGATTGGCTTTGCTTGACCTCCTGCCTGATCTGAGAGGGGCTACAGTGTTGCGCTGCCTTGAATGCTCTGTGCTAGGAAAGTAAATAACTGTGCTCCTGAAAACAAAGGACCGGGCAGATGTAGGGGCCACAGCAAGAGTCAATATTGACTTTTGAACCACTTGTGTAAAGCAGGGGATGAATGCATCCAACATGACCTGGGACGTGCAGGGCTGATGGTGGTGACAGGGCTCTGGAAGGCTCTGTCTGAAACTAAATAGTCTGGCTGAGGAGTCACCTGGGTTCTTTCTGTCCCTTTCAGGCACCACTGAAACTAAGCCAGGAAGATTTTAAGAAAGAGACTCGCTACTCCTTCTCCTTGCTCTGTCTTTGTTCACTCTGTATTTCTGCTAAAGTTTGTGGTCTGTTATAGTTTATTTCTGTTATGGTTTATTTCTGTTATGGTTTATGGATAGTAGCCTGCAGGCATGTTACCCTGCCTACTGAAGCTCAGCAGGTGTGAGCCTGGTCAGTACCTGGATGGGAGACTCCTGGGAAAAACTAAAGTTGCAGCTTGGAAGAGGTGTTAGTGGGGCCAGTAGGGGGTGCTCACCCTGCAGTCTGTGTGGGTCCTCATGCCCCAGTATAGTGATGGGGACACTATACTGTAAAAAGGCACCGTCCTTCGGATGAGACGTAAAACCGAGGTCCTGACTCTCTGTGGTCATTAAAAATCCCAGGGTGTTTCTGAAAGAGTAGGGGTGTCACCGTGGCAATCCTTGCCAAATTCCCCCTGGTCTTTATCATGGCCTCCTAATAATCCCCATCTCTGAACTGGCTTCATCACTCTGCTCTCCTCCCCACTGAGAGCTGGTGTGTGGGGAGAGTACTGGGGAATCATCCAGGTGGGGCTGGAGTGTCCAGAAAAGCACCATACAAGTGTAAGGAAGTATTATTATAAGTAATAGTAGTACTAAGTACTGGCACCCATTGAAGAACATAAGGTTGACATGTTCCCTAAGGAGTGGAAGATGAGGAGAGATTTGGGATTATATTGTGATGCACAATGTTCAGACGAGAAAATTATCGCACATTATCATTCCCGGTGTTGGAGTGTCTGGGTATCCCACCTGCTGCCACTGCGTTCCTCTCATCAGGAGCTCCTCGGTGACATGGCTCTGATCTACTCTATCCTGTCCTGCTTCAGTTTTGGAATGGGGTCTAGGGGAGGCCGGGATACTTCCACACCCTTGTTTTAATCATCCTCAATCTGTTCGTCACAGTTTTAATTTAAATGAGTGAATAGAACATCACTTTTAAGTCTTAATCACTAACACTTCATAGGTGTTTTTTAGTGCTTCCCGAAATATAATATTTTTTTTCTGTTTATTTTATTATTCACGCGTTTTCCTAATGCCACATCGACTGCTCGCGATTCTGACTATGCCGTCATCAGGCAGAGCAGTGACGTATTTCCTTCTTCAAGCCTGGTGAAGGTGGCTCTAGTCTCTGGGTTTCTGCCTGGTCTTCAGCAGGTTTTCTGCAATTCAGCAGCTCGAGAGAGAAGGAGACAATCGCAGGAGCTCGGAACCGGGGATGGGGGAGTAGGAGGGGGTCGGGTATTCATTTTCTGTCAGACCCCTGCAAGCCATCATAAAACAATTTCTCATTGCGGCGTCGGAGCCGCTCAGCTTTCCGCGGTTCATAAGTCCTGTTCTTTCGGAATTAAATTACCGTTTGCGCGATCTCTGATCTCTGGAGGAAGATAATGAGGTAGTCTGCAGAAAATGACAAACAGGTTCGATTCAGGGGACGTGAGAGGAGACCGTTTATAAAACTGAAGACTGGAAGGAAGAAAAAAAAAGCTCAATATATATATATAGTGTCTCGGTAGACCTAATTAGTTAATTGCATAAAAGCGTAATTATTAGTGCCTTTAAACAATTGCGTTATTAAATACTCGTTTGTTTAATCAGCTTGGCAGCGCCGGCAGAACATGTCTTTCTGTTTGTAGCGCAGAAAAGGCTTCAGCCAGTCTCAGAAAAGCGGACACTGTTGTAACTGATCTGGATTATCTGTAACCAGAAACACTCCGGGGAGTTTCTACGGTAATTTAGAGAACCGTATTACAATGTACAGCAGTTTTAATTTATTTATTTTCAACTGTAATGCAATTTCCCTCACTTCTGGATATGTATTAATGCTATCATTATTTATATTATTGATGATAACCTATATACAAATAACGTGTTATAAAATATGTATTACTAATAAATATGACTAATATAAATAATAATAGAGAGCTGAAGCAGGGCTTTTGTCTCAAATTCTGACACAATAGTGTTAATTATGTAAACTAGACATGATCACTAAAACTTGTTTTTAACAAGTAGCCAAAAATATATTGTTCGAGATCTCTTTGTTTAAAGTGCTGCTTTCTAAGTTGGCAGCGAGCAGCACGACTGTTCTTCGTGTACTGTACACTAGGTCAGAAAGCGATGATGAAACACTGTAGCAATGATCGGGAGGTATGCGGGGGCTCATCTGCCATCCGAGCGGCCTGCTGTCGCTCACAGCCCCCGAGTTCTGCCACAGGCGCACAGTGAGCGATCCGGTGTCCCGGGTCCTACACTGTGCCGTGATCCACACACGACAGGTAAAGGAATCGGAAACGGGCAGAATCGCACTCATCCTCGCAGTAAAAAAAAAAACCGCTCTTGAACGCTTCTCCACACGGGGGAGACCTTTTCCCAGTAAATGACTCGGTCCTTGGGTTTTTTTTTAATAGGCTTTCGATTTTTTTTTCTGCTTCTGTGCAAAATAAACCGACAAAGAGACCGATTCGTAATTCGTGTATATCAGAGCATTCGGGAGTGTGTGTTTGTGGAAGTGCAATTTGGTGGAGGGGAAAAATGTGTGCAACTTATAAAACTGTTCTGCTTTCACAGGCATGGATTTGTGCGCGCACATTTTACAATAATCAATATCCATGCATTGAGTGTACCGAATATGGAAGCAATCCACGACAGTAACGCACACGTACACACAAAGAAAGGGGAGACGGTTACGAAAGCACAAATAGAAACAGGCCGACACAAGCCGTGCTTGTGCGTGTGTCGGTGGAGCGGGGTGGGGGCGCAGATCTCGGGCGGCACTAGGACCCGGCAGCCGTGCTGCACAAAGACGAGAGCTGGGAAGCCGCGTTAAAAGAAGGGCCGGCGCTCCTCCCGCCGAGGCGGGCGAGTGGGCGGGTTTCGGTGGATGTTAAGCAGATGGGACGTGTCGAGCAGCTCAGCTCAGCTCCGGCAGGCAGTTACGGTGTGGCCGCGGAACCGAGGAGGCGGGTCGTACTCCGTGCCCTTGGCACAGTAGTTAATCCCCAGTTCGCCGGTGCCTTCACCTACTGTATCTCCGTGTGCGGCTCTGACAGGGACTCAACGCGCAGAGCCGTCTAATAAATCCCTGAGAGCGAATCGCTGCCCGAACCGGACCGGACGAGCTGCCCTTCTCGTCCCCAGAAACCCGGTGCCAGAGAGAAAAAGGACCCGTCCCCCCCCCCGCCCTGTGTGGACTTCGGCAGCCGGGAGGCGCAGGGTGACGGACATCGGTACCTGTCGCCGGTTTTGTTTACGGTCATCTTGTGCCTTGGAGATCGCTGAAAAAAAACTTTCGATCTCGTCCGGGTGAATCAATATTCGAGCAGCGATGCCGGGCTTCGATTACAAGTTTCTGGAGAAGCCGAAGAGGCGGTTCCAGTGCCCTCTGTGTAATAAAGCCATGCGAGAACCCGTGCAGGTATCTACCTGCGGACACCGATTCTGCGATACCTGTCTCCAGGAGTTCCTGAGGTAAGGGCGCGCGTTCTCTTTTTCTAAGCCAGGGGATGGTCTTTTGTCGATTTCAATCAGTTTAAATTACGGAGGCGAGAGATTTGATTTTAAAAAAATACTGAACCGGAGGACAAAAAAACAAAGAGCCAGTTCTGCTTTATTGTTATGTGGTAAGGTGGCGATTCTTGGACGCGGCGCTGTGTGGGGGGAAAAAAAGCGGTCTCCCGTGTTCGTCCGGGTTGTACACAAACCAATACTTGGTTGAATAATTTACACTTTACGTGTCGGGATGTTACTCAGTCGTTTCATGTCAGGGGCGAAATGGCGAAGACCCCAAGCAATGGGGTGTATATACAGTAGCCGACTGGGCGAAACTTCCAATTTTGTAGAGAACCTTTGGAACTTCAAACAGTCAAGTCCAAAGGATCGTAACAGGGTAGCCGTGTGCGTCGGAGTTGCTTCGCTGTAAACGGAACCGTAACCCGTACAATTGCAAAAATAAAATGTGTATATATATATACTTTTTCTCGTATTTTCCTTCGCGTTGCTCTAAATAAAAGAGCAGCTGACATTGTTCGCGACGGAGTCTGTCCGCGGAGGGAGCGTCTCCTCTCGGCCGGCGAAGGCGTGGCTCTGTGAGCTCCGTGTTTACCTGCGGCAGGTAGGGCGCTGCGTCCTTTGAATTGCTACAGAAACCGAAACTCGCCGAGGCAGCCGGAGCTCCTGGCTGCGAGATCGTCCGGGTTTAGAAAGAAATGCTGTTCGCTGAATCAGCGATTCGTGCTGTTCCACCCCCTCTGGCATTCTGACCGGACTATTGCTCTAGTCGAGTGCACAGCCACGGCGAAAGCAGTAGAAAAGCCTAAAGCATCTTCTAACCTGGGGTGTGTGAAGAGCGTGTGTTAAAAAAAAAAACGCGCACAGGATATTTAAAAATGGCCTGATTAAGATGAACTGAACGCGGTGTGCTAAATAGTATTGAGTGGGTTTTGCTCCCGTGCTCTGCCTTTTTTATAGCTGGAGTAGGACGATGGTAATCGCAGTGTTTGACTGCCAGCACCAGTCAATTCAATTCAAGGTGCTTTATTAGCATCTCTCTCCGGAAACTCGGAAGTCTTGTGAGGGCTTACTGGCGTCCGCCCACTCATAGCAAGCATGAAAAAAATAATTAAGCGCTGTCATTTTATGTTTTTTTTTGCTGACTGGACTATACCTGTGCGTGGTTATCCTTGTGGGGCTTCGGTGTCGAGCGCGAACGCAGCGGGGCCGGTGCTGTTCAGAAGTGACGACAGGTGACTCGTTAAACGTTATGGGGCCGCTGCCCTCTCGCTCTTGACAAATGGTCCGTTTTCGTGGGGTCGTGGTCGGCTGCGCTGGCGCTGGGGAGCCGGTTCTGCTGATTCAGGGTTGTTTTGTGTGGAGGAATATGTTTGTATAGACTCTGAAACGGGCGGTCCCACGAAGTCACTCCCGAGCTCCAGCGGGAGAGCACGGAGCCTCTGACCCACGTTGCCCGAGTCCTAACGCTGCCAGTTGGCGTGGCGCTGGTCAGAGACTGGCTGACAGCGCGCACGGAGGAGAAACCGTCAGCATGTGAGTGCTGTCACGCTGCTCTCACCCCTGCCTTCTCCGGGGGCACCCCTGCTTTTTTTCCATGCCTGGGAATTCTGCTTTTATTCCGGCAGATGTTATCAATAGAAAGCCCCAGACATTCCAGTGCTTGTATAATCAGGGGAATGTAGCAACAGGCACCAGTCGCTGTTCTGGCGTGATACACTCTGCCCCACGTTTGGTAGTATCCCATCTGTTTGCACTGCTGTATTAAGTCCTGACACTTTTTTTTTTAATGACAACTGGTTTCAAGGCTCTTTAAATAAAATGCAAATAAGGTCTAAATCCTGTTCCTGCGTTTCATGTGTTCAAATAGCCCTATGTGCTTTGCTTTTGCTGTGACGGAGATCACATTGGCCCTGAGTGAAATCCACAAAATAGCTAAACAGTATTTGAAGTTTGGTGAAAAGACATTGGAACCTTAATGTAAATTTCCTCAGTCAGGTGGGAATTGCTAGTGAGCTGGGGTGTTCCCTTCAGCACAGTTAATAGGTTTTTGGCATTTGTTTTGTTTCTGAAAGTCCTCAGTGCTGTTTTTGTTTTTTTACTTTAGTCCATTCTTGATGCAAAAACCTGCTTGCAGTGCTACAGCCCCTAAAATGATTATATTCACTTATTGTATAAACATCCGTTTTTTTAGCCAGCACCAGCACAAAGCACGTTCTCCTGCAGTTTCCCCTCATGAGGTGGTTGTCACAGTTTTACATTCGTAGCTTTACGGTACCATAAACTGGTAAGATATCAGCCAGGAATGAACTCAGAGGGAAGCCTTCTGGTAAAGAGGATCACGGCAGTTCTTTTAGCAAATCCAGAAGGTGGTTAAAACCCACCGGTCCAGCAACAGTAAATTTAAAAACAAGAGTTGCACAGAGGTGGAAAAAAGCTGGCTCTGAGCACTGGGCAGTCCTGACTAATGAAGATGTGGACAACAAGGGGGAGTTTGTTTCCTGTTTTGGGGGGGCAGGGCAGAGGTGAGTGTGATTTGGGGGCCAGGAAGCAGTGTGAGAACGGCTTGTTCTTTGGAGCAAGTTTGGACTCTGGTAGGCTCGTAAATTGGGGTGACGAGGCGGGGTTCCTCTGCGCAGAAGGGGTTGCATTCTTCACGGGGGCCGAAGAGACCCTAACGTCATTGTCACGGACTTTGCCGTGGGTCTGCTGCAGCTGGGGAGGGGGCTGGGGGGAGTTTGCAGCCCAGAGGGATTAGAGAGATTGTGCCTTTATTGCAGGTCAGGGAGCAGAAGAGGCTGCTGTCAGTATTTCCCCTGCCACAGTCCCTGTCCCGGTCGCTGAAGGAGTGGAGCCCCGCAGGGCAGACGGACTGCTCTGTGCCCTTACTTGAGCCCCGATCGGCAGCCCAGGTGAAGGGCGCGGTGTGCTCCTCGTTTGCAATACACACCTCCTCGAAGGCATTGTTGCATATCCAGCACTGATGCCCGGCATGGCTGTCTAGGCATGGCTCTGTCACTTGGGCTCAGAGTAACAGACTTCCTTTCTCTAACTGCTTCTTTCAATTCGAAATAAAGCGAACGCTTTGAGTTCTCATCAGCGAAAGCTCTTCAGACGCATCCTATACCTGTCTCGGTAAAAAAAATCTTATCGGGTAATTATTCATCTAGATAGGTACTGGACATTTACTTCTTCGAAGGTTAGTTTCAGGAAAGGAGAGCCCGCTTTTAAGATCAAGGGAAAGGGTTGTTTACTGTACACGTGGAGATCTCGACCTGTGCGCTAAATGCTCAGATTTCACCAGGGGTTAAGTTAGCAACTGAAAGTGGCTTCCATCGTTGGAAAGACAGCGGAGCGAAAAGCACAACCCGATTGGCTGTCCCGGTTGTTTGTTGACATTTAGTTCCTCTTATCTGGCCCTCGGCTGGACTTATCGCTGCTAGGAATCTGCTGTCGTGTTTCTCTCCTTGCTCTGCCTCACCCCCGGCCGCGGGCGGCAGCCTGCGCCTCCGGGCAGAGAGGAGGCCGCGTGACTGGGGGTGAAATTTCACCTCCAGCCTCACTGGTGCAGACAGAACAGCTGGGGGTTCTGTCCCTCGTGCCTGTGCTGTTCCAGAGGAGAGCGGAGAGGCTCTGATTGGTGCGTGTGGCGGGTTTTAATCTGGCGTTGATATGAGCAGGATGCTGTTCACTGTATAAGGCACAGTGAGGCTTCTGCTGCAGTGCTAATGGCAACACTACCTGCTTCAGGGCTCGGAATGGCCACCCAGCCCCAGTCCTGGAGCTGTAGGACAGTGGTATGGAGCTGAATGCCCGATCATAGAGTGAGAGCAGAGATTGAAGGGATCTTCAGAGTCCCAGCTGTGCTCGGGAGTTGAATGCTCTAGTCTGAATGCAGCGGGTGGTTTATAATCACAGCCAGCCACAGAACACGTACTCATCCCATTTGTGGAGTGCTGGGAAAAACCACGTCCAGATGCTTCAATAAATATTCCAAACGGCTATCCTATATTCAAGTGACTATTTATGTTTAAAAATGAATACTGTATTGAAATAGAACCCCCTACGAAATGCACAAAACGTCTTTTCTGTGAATAGGGACTGCTAGCTCTGGGGGGGGGGAACCCACAACCTAGGATAGCTGTGGCCTGAAAGATTAATCTATATACCGGTCCGATCTAGCTGAGTCATGCTGATGTAAACTTGCATGCAACTTTGACTTTAAAGGCACAAAACGTCTTTTCTGTGAATAGGGACTGCTAGCTCTGGGGGGAAAAAAACCCCACAACCCATGATAGCTGTGTCCTGAAAGATGAATCTATATACCGGTCCGATCTAGCTGAGTCATGCTGATGTGAACTTGCATGCAACTTTGACTTTAAAGTTGGTTGCGCCTGCTCTGCTTTCTAGCGTGAAACATCTGGGACTAATATGCCCGCAATAACATCCCGATTTAAGCGTCCTCTTTTTTTTTCCCTCTACGGCAGATGAATGATGGTAGAGCAGGGCCAGGCGTCCCGTGCAGCAGCTGCACGTGCAGGTCCCTGCGGCTCGGATGAGCACCGTTATCTTGCGTCAGGTGATCACCAGCCCGCGGTTGTTCTGCGGGGACCGGAGTGGTCCAGGGAGGGATTAAGAGACGAGGAAGAAGTGGCTGATTCTTGGAGTAGCGAGAGCAGCCAGCGATGAGTCCGGGCTTGCCGTCCCAGGGTGCGCCGAAGCAGGTGGTTGTCTCCGAGTCTCGGATCCACCCACATGTTATTGTTTAAGAATAACTGGGGGAAATAAAACAGAATTCTGAATCATCGGGCATTTGTGTAAAATGTCATCATATCTCGATCCTGCGTGACAAATCGGGGTCATGCGCCATTCCATCTCCCTTTGTCTCTGCTCCACCTTTCCTGCTCTCGGAATGCGAGGAAGGTTACGGACCGAAAGAGATCCGTTGCCCCATCTTCCTC